ATTTCATGATTATTGCTCGAGAGATGTTAACTTAAAGCATGAGCTCACTCATGACGCACTCGTACGGCCGAAAAGCCTAAGACCGCACCATGAACATGAATAATTCAGAATAAACATGACCTAAACATGAGTATTCTAAGGTAATCTGAAGTTACCTTAGAGACCCTCGACTGATCACACCACCGTGCGTAAGCGAAGCTCTCGGTGCGCGCGATGTGCGATGCTAGCCTCTTGTCGTGTGGTGCTCGCGGTAAGCTTGGCGTGCGTGCATGAACTCCTTAAAATTCCCAACTTTCCTTACTACTATCACTCTAATTATATGCTGAACAATACTTAATGGAAAAGTGGGAAAAATCCTACTAAGTTACCCTTATATATTAGGAAACCGAATGGGGAAAATGATTAGGGAAAATAAAGTGTTTGGTGGCTTCACCATTACATGACACCTATTAATCCCTAAAGCTTAGTCATCAAAAATGGAGTTAGTCATCACTAAGCATGTCCATAATAGGACACCTCATGCTTAAGTAAAATGAGGACAATTCCCACTAATTCCCCACTTATAAAACTTACGGCTTTTTAAGGCTAATTGGAAAAATTTGCACGGCTTTATGACATTAAGATGTGATTAATATTTAATTAATCACTTAATTATGCTTAATTAACTTTTAAGCATAATACTTAATTACCAAAATTTTTCCGAACGTAAGCGGTACGTCGAAAATAATTTCGGGTAATCTCGACTGAAATATCTTAATTTAAAATAATAAATAATTTCGAATTCTTGACTTGGACGATTAATCCGAATATTGATATTCCGAATCAGTTGTCAACTTAACTAATTAATTCCGAATTCATTAATTAAATAAATGAATCGGAATTAATTCTGGAAACTTATTCGGTTACTGAATTAATTAAACCGAATAATTTATCAACTAAATAGTCGAACTTGGAATATAAATGACTGATTAACCTGCACTTGAACATGAACATGATTATTTATTAACAAAGGCTAGCTTAAAACTAAAAGCTAGTATTTTCCTTTATTAATAAAATACGGGGCGTTACACATCGTCCCCGAGTAATGCAACCGTCCGCGCTAGGAGCAGCATCGCCGTTCGTCGTCCAACTTGCCTTTCCATGAGCCGTCGATGGTTCTCCGAGCGAACAATCCGCCATCACAGGATCAATCGAGTCGAGTACCTTACAACAGCCATGTCCGCCATCACCAAAAGGACTCAGTCCGTGAGTCGGCCGCCGTTCGACGTGGCAACCTGACCGTTCGCTCCGAGAAGTTCGTTCGCTGTAGCCAAGACCTGTCCGATCTTTAAATGTCCATTCGAAAGAGTGTAGTAAACATATACACAAATTATATGTTAGTTATACACAATCTATACTGTGTTGTTTTTTGGAGTGCGCAAAGTTATTGGTTGAACCTTGTAAATGACATGTAAAGTACATATTTGTTGTTTATCATATGTATAACTACATTCGATTTGGATTTTGCAGTAATTCAAAATTGTGAATTATGTTTTATCTCGTTCTAGTGTTGTTTACATGTTGTTTATCTTATGTATAACTGTACGATTAATATTAGAAAACTATCAGATCATGTTTATCTGATGATAGTATATCTAAACATATATTCGCACTGCAATGATTAACATAATCAAACACTGGACACAATATGAACAATTAAACACTAACTACAATTTCGTCAAGTATGTACAACAAACATCATAGCAACTTTAACTTTGATGTTCAGATAGTAACATAAAATATACTCATGTAAGGGTATGAGGATAAAAAGTGCTGACCATATCGCATCCATCTCACTATCAGGCACTTACTTGTAAAGTGACTCGTAGAAAATCATCAATGGGTCTCTCTGTAAAACCCCAATTCAATACAGCCTCAGAGTATCCTTCTTAGAAAACAAATCCAAGAAAAAAAATGAAAGAAAACAAGAAGCAACAAAGCTTACAGCCTAACATGTAAATTCCGCTTCGATTTTTGAATTCTTGATTAACTGAATTATTGGTATCGCATTTGCCATGTTTATTTTCTTTCTTTTTTTTTTTATGAATTTTCTGTTACTTGTGCGTGAATCTCGCCCACTTGAATGCCATTATCAATATATGGAGAGAGAGAAAAGAAATCTTCTAATATAAATCACAATCTCGTACAATTGAAATAAAAATCCTTTATTATTCCTATTTTGATTAATGTTTGCAAAGATGGTATATTTGTAAATATCTTTAGCCAGGTCTCCATGTACGTAATTTTCCCATAAATTAACATATGAAATGGCCCAACACACAAACCCAAGGAGCAAGGGCCCCCAATCTGTCATAACTGGCTTCTAAGCCCGATTCCATTTGGGTCCATAATAAACCCTAGCTTTGCTTCTAACCCCTACACATCGTTTTATTGTTCCCTCGCTCAAACTCATTCGTCCAGCCTCTTCTCAGACAGCACAGTAGCACACACCCTCTCTCCGAATATGGTGAGCTACCTGAAAATGTTCTTCTCTTGTTTCATTACTGCCCTTTTGAGTTTCATAATTTCTGGATTTTGATCTCTACTTTTTTAATCCCTTTTATTTATAGCCGTTCAAGAGGTATGTTGAGATCGGAAGGGTGGCCCTCGTCAACTACGGCAAGGACTACGGAAAGCTTGTCGTCATTGTTGACGTTATCGATCAGAACAGGGTAAGAGCCTAAATTGTTCTGTTTCTGTGTGAGTAGGAACAAATATTAATGCTTTATCGCTTCTGAATTTCCACTCTGTTGGTATATCTTATCCCTATTTTTTACTGCCATTTTTTTTGTCATTTTTTTCTGCATGATGGACATGTGAATGCTGATGGGACTTATTGGTTGGTATTAACTGGGATTTTTCCTTGTTTTGTTTTCAATCTTTGTGTGTGTGTGTGTGTGTGTGTGTTGTGTTGTGTTGTTAGCCATGGTGTTTCTTGTTTGCTTGTATTGCTGAGTAGGACCCTGACAATATATTATTTTCCCGTTAGATTCAGCATTGTGGGTTTTTAGTTTATAGTATGAGAACAACCCTGAATTCAGTTGAGTTTACGGCTTTCTTAAGTTGTGAATCAGTGCTTTCTATGAGTAAACAATCTTGCGATTTGAAAGATCCTTTTCGACTGTTATTATTTGGCTTTAATTTTATCTGCATTGTGGTCTTAATCCATTTTAGTATGAATTTAGTGTGAGGATTGTCCAAGGAGTATGGATTTATTCTATTTGTTTCATTTTATTTTTATTTTTGTGTGCGTGCCATACGATTATTACATGATGATACAATCCGTTCTGCAGGCTCTTGTTGATGCCCCTGATATGGTAAGGAGCCAGATGAACTTCAAGAGGCTTTCGCTGATAGACATCAAGATTGATGTAAAAAGGGTTCCCAAGAAGAAGACTCTTGTAGCTGCTATGGAGGCGGCTGGTTGGTGCTTTTAATATGTTTTATTAATGTGTTTACTTTTGTGATTATTGTATTTGATAATTATGCTGAAATATGTGATTCTTATCGCAGATGTTAAAGGAAAATGGGAAAAGAGTTCATGGGGGAGGAAGCTTATTGTTCAGAAGAGAAGGGCTGCGCTTAATGATTTTGACCGGTTCAAACTGATGCTAGCTAAGATCAAGGTATGTGAAACGTGATCTAACAATTTGCCTTATGTTTTTCTACATTTGTTTTTGGAGTACTAGTATTAACTAAAGATAATAGGAAGATATTACGGGCGGAGAAAATAATGAAATTAAGAACGAAAAGCTTATAATAACATAGACCAACGTAACCATAGATAATTAGATACCTTATGATACATTATGATGGATGTTTTAATAGCATATAATTGGGGATTTCAGAACGAGCATGGTTCTCAAACTACAAATTCATTGGTGATGTGGTCAGACCAGTGGTAGAATTGGTTGGGCTGGTGTTGAAATTATTAATAATTTTCAAAGTTATAGTGCTCAAGTTTTTAATGTTATATATGAAAACTTCATTTATTAAATATTTAGAAAATATGCAAATCCCTATATTAAATGTTGCATACACAATATATTTAAATGCATATTTTATTCATGTTAAAAAGTTATGTAAATATATGAAAACTAATTCTATAATAAAAGGTCTGACCTGTAGTTTTGTCCGGTTTTAACCGCTTTCACCAATTTGTTGGATTGAATTCAAAATTTCCAAGTCTTGTTCAGTTTTTACAACTATGGTTCAGATAGCTTCTGTTTTGTAGCGGTAACGAGATAGACATAGTTGATGTGATATTCTTCTATTGAAATTGTATACTTACCAAAGTGACAGATTTTAAAAGTTGTTGTTAACGAACCGAACGTTCGCGAACAAAAGCTCGTTCGAGCTCGTATGTGTTTGACAAAAGCTCGTTTGTTTGTTGAGCTGAGTTCGAACAGAAAATTAGGCTTTAATAATCGAATGAACATGAGCTCGTTTGTGAATGTTCGTAATGTTCGCGAATGTCAAATTAATATTATTTTATTTTATTTTTTATATTTACATATTATATAATAAAAAACAAAAATATAAAAATATTTTTATTTTATTTTTTTATTTTCGATTTCTAACAAACAAATGTCCAGTTAATCAAACATATTTAAAAAAGTTTATGTCCTAAATTATTCGAATTTTGACGAACAATTAACGAACGAGCTCGAACACGAGCTCAAAACGCCTAAGCTTAGCTCGTTCGGTTCGATTACAACACTACTTATAGGTAGCTGAGTTGTATCTCTACTGAAAAACTTCACTTGCAATCAAGGAATTCTCTTGTGAAACATCTTCAAAAACTGAGAATGGCTATTGTTTTCTTTAGATCCCGATTGTTTATTGTTTATTGCATGCTGTTCCTATAAGGACTATAAATTATCGTGCTCGACATTTGCAGAGGGCTGGTGTTGTTAACCAAGAGCTCGCCAAGCTAAAGAAAGAAACTGCTGCTTGAGTAATATAGTTTCAGGTTAATTTGGATTTTGGCTTTGATTTTCAGATCTTGTATCCATTTTATCTTGCAGAACTTATTCCTGAATTCAATACAAAAGGAAAGGTCGTTGATTCTTGGTTTACGTCTTTGTTGATTATTATATCGCATCTAAATCTAACAAATTAGATAGGTATCAAAATGAACAAAAGGTCTACCCTTATAATTTTATTGCAAAAAATATTATTTTTCTTTATATTGTTTTTTAAATTATGGTAAAACAAAATTGCGTACTTATACAATAGCAATAATTAGCATTTTTGTTAAACAAAGATACATCATTCTTGTTTATATTGACCAATGAAATATCATTTTTGTTAAACATTGATACATAGTTCTTGTTTATATCGACCAATTAACTTATAGCTAGCTTATTGTATTAGCGAACTGTAGTAGCTGATTTGACTGTCAGATTCAATTAGTGATTTGTCAACTGTAATAGTTGATTTGACTGTCAGATTCAATTAGTGATTTGTCAACTGTAATAGCTGATTTGACTGTCAGATTCAATTTGTGATTTGTCAACTGTAATAGCTGATTTGACTGTTAGATTCAATTAGTGATTTGTCAATTGAGCGTTTGGTAAATAGCAAAACTTTTATAGCTCATATGTTGTATAGCATTTTTTAATCGTTTCTTCCTAAAACGTTAATTTTTTATACTTTCATAATTAGAGCTGTGGATCCAAAACGCTAATCAAAAAATTTGTTACAAAACAAACTAATTAGTGGATTTGATTAGTCAAACCTAGTCCAAGCCACTAATTTAACATAATCTGTTAATAAACAAGAGATTAATGCTTTATAAAGTTAAACATTTTTGCTTATATATTGCAATAATATGATTATGAAGTGGTTTGACATGTCTAATAAATTGGGGTTAAAGAAAATTTTGCTTGTATATTGCAAGTGGTTAAAAACATGTCTAATAAATTGGGGTTAAAGAAAATTTTGACAAGTGGTTAAACATTATAATTTTTGCTTATATATTGCAATAATATGATTATCAAGTGGTTTGACATTATAAGTTTGTATGCAATTGATAATTTTAAAGTACAACTAATAAGCAAGAAAAAGTTGTAAAAGGTTCTGTCATGGTTCTCTTGAAATCCTGCGAGAGTACGCCAAATTGAAAATAACGAGAGTACGCCAAATTGCAAATACCGGATACATAAGTGCATGTTCATTAATCCAGCAAGTTGCAACCAAATAAGTCTACTCAATTAAACTAGGTTGGGAGGACTACACTGAGTAGCCTAGAAACAACCTAACAAAGAAAACAAAAGCACACTAAGTTCCAATAGAAGAAAAAAAAAGTTCCCACGAGTGAAGAATAACGAGCTCACATGATAATAAAGAAGCGAGAAACAAAAAAAAAAAAAGGTACCATACTTTTAAATCATCCCTACTAGCCGAACAACACCCCCAACCGTTACCACTCGAGCCAACATCTACGCCTTTGAACTTGGGTCCGCGGGAGAAGTAAGGATCACTGAGATCGAAATCGCGGGGATGGCGACCTCATTCACGACCGCTTCGGGTCAAACAACAAATCGGAATTTGCAACCCCCCTCTTCGTACTGTCGCCTTAACCATCAAAAGCGATCATGATAATTCTATCGCCTTGGGTCGGGTCAGATATCCTTAGGTCGGTGGAAGCTTCAAGATCCCGATGGCCTCTTTTTCGAAGAAGCTCGGCATCGTCGAAGTCAAGTTTCGCCACCAACTGACCAAGACCGTCTTCAAGCTAATGGCGACGTGCCTTCACGCGAAGAATCTCGCGAAAGTCCTCCAAGATCATTTTCCGTGCAGTGGAGAAACTAGCGAATGTTTATGGCCGTGAACACATGCATCGAATCTCGGGCATGGCTTGATAATCCGAGTAGTTGAGCAACTGGCTACCTCCAGCAAAGGCATCTTTCCCTTTCTCTACCAGGGTAGACAGGTTGGCAATTTTGGCCTTAAGCACCTTGTTCTCCTGCTAGAGTGACTTCTGTCCCTGGATGAACGCACTCCTCTCTTGGATCCACTGTAAAGGTTCAAAAGCATTGTGGGTCTCGTCAGCCTGGGTGGTCAACTTCACAACCTCAGATTGTACAATCGAGCAGTTTTCGACCTCAGCTAAACATTTTCACCGGTGAGCACGTCGCACTTGTTCTCAATCTCCGACTATTTTTTTATTTGCGCCTCCAAGGGAACAACAGAGGCATCGCAGATTTTTTATCATTAAGTTGGTTAAAGCTTGAATCCCATTTGCACGTCTCTTCGATAGAGATAGAGAAATTGGCCATCACCCGACCTAGGCTGGCCAGTGAGTGCTCGAGCTACTGCACTTCAGTTAACCCCGTGATGATGGAAGCCTTGACAACTGGGTCCCAGCTCATTATGTGAACTCGAGCAGCCTCAACCATATGATCTGGGAGGGCGAAACTATTTGGGATTCGCAGACGAACAACAGACTTAAAGAAGGTAAACCACTCATCTAAGAAATCTGCAAGATTTCCCAATCGTTCCTCCCCCCTCTTGTTGACGGGCACGTAGGAGGAGGACCCAGCTTGATGAATTGAGAGCATCCAATTCCAACACTAATCCACTCTCGAAGACATCAACTTTCCTATTTTTTGATGGTTCTGTGTGCGGACGATCCCTGGTAAGTTTTCCCTCACCACCATGAGATGAAAGGGATTGGTTGGTCCAACCACCACAACCCCATGCGCGACGATCTCACTTGGATGGGTCATGACTCAGTCCGGCTCATCACGACGAACTATTCTATTCCTCTACGGGTTCTGGCCACTTCAACGTAATCCGAGCATTCATTTTTATGAAGAATTGAATTAGAAGCAAGAGAAAACAAAGAAATTCTTACCGAATTTTAGCAAGAAACAGGATGCAGTAGATGGCGGCAATGACGATAAATAAAGTTTCACAGAAGACAAGAAATTGAAATTTGGGAAACCAAAAAATTAGGGCAAAAGGAATATCTAAAACATATCGCAAAATGGCCTCCAATGGAGTGATGGCACGTATCGCATTTAGGAATTATCCAAAATTTCAACCGTCTCCATATGATCCCCAAAACAAAGCATGATCAACAATTTTTACAGAAGCCACGTTGTCAGCAGAATTCCAAACATTTCATCTTCCAAAAACGGTTTGTTAGAGGCAGCTCGAATATTTATTCTAATGGCGACCTCAGAGGAACCGCCTAAATTCACTCCCTCCGGGCTCAGGCGCCTATATGCTGATACCCGTGCTAAACGACAGATCTTTAATAAGGGAAATCTGCGCTAAGTACTTAATACTGATCCCAGGTCGGTAGATCAGCCCCAAGAACTAGCACAACGACATTCTTACTGCGAAGGAAATGATATGGCGCAAGATGGACCTGCATAGGCGCACTAAGAGTGGAAATAATAAAATAAAAGTACTTGTGCCCAAATGATGACAGTTGGGACGCCACCGCCTTATCCCTGCAAGCCTATCGACCTTAGCAGCCGAGAGCCTAGCGTTGCATTATATGGGTCTCATTCTCATTAAATGCTTGATGTATGACTCAGTGAAGAGTAACTTACTATAATAGCATATGATGAATCCTTAAAAGGGTGGCTGAAATTTTAGCAATAAAAGAAACAAATAATCTTTGTATTAAATACCATATTAAATACTCATCCGAGCTAAAAGAAAAAAAAATGGACCGACCTTGTCTATTGTTATATCATTACATTCACATCTCACTTTTCCTCACGTTTCCGTGTCCGTCCGATTTCCTCACGAAAACATCTAAATTTAGCCAAGTCAATCACAACTAAATCCATGTATAACACTTTTAAATCCTTATTCGAATCCATTTGACAACAATAGCTAAAGAAGATCTTAATAATATTCAGATTTACTTTCTCAAATTATTATCTTGTTATGATTTTTATTTTTATCTGTATTTTTCATTACTTTCTCCTCTATTATATCACTTTCCGTACAACAAATTGTAAAAAGCGTGCTCCAATTAGCACGTTTTATCTAATATTCGCAGCATTTAATCTTTTCCTTTTATTTTATTTTTGGAATCTTTATCTCCAAGTATCGCACTTCTATTAGCTGAGTTAGTTATATGAGAGTGCGAGAAGAGCATGTGCATATGATGCTAGATATAAAACTTTGTATCTCTCTCCTTTTGCAGTAATAAAGAACAATATTTTCTTCATTCATCTTGAATTTTATCCTTACAAAATTAACATGGTATCCATAGCATATCCCACGGTCATGGCACGCACAACACAAAATCCATGGTCGGCGTTGAATGTCAGCTCTGACAGCTCAGAATCACTGACCGATGTTCGTGAGCAGGACCTCACCTATCTGCAAAACTCCGATCATCCTGGCGCAACATTCGTGACATCTCTATTGACAGGTAACAATTATTTACCTAAGAATCGCACTAGGAGCTAAAACAAAGCTTGGATTCATAGAAGGAACCACACTTGAGCCTAAAAAAAATTCCTCTGATTATGAAAAATGGAAAAGAGTGGATTGGATTATCACATCATGGATCCTTAACTCGATTTCAAAGTACATTGTGGAAGCCTTTATTTATGCTAACACAGAAAAAGAGTTATGAATTAACTGAAAGATTTAGAGAATGCAATGGGCCTTTGTTGTTCCAGCTAAAGAAGGAAATTACAAACATGAACCAAGAAAATATGTCAATCATGATGTATTTCACAAAACTAAAGAAACTCGGAATTGAACACCATACCCTAGATCCTCTACCTATTTGTGAATTTGGAGCTGCAAAATTAATGGCAGAAACAGATGGAAAAGGAAAACTGATGCAATCCTTGATGGGCTTAAATGAAAGCTTTGACACCATAAGGATTCAAATCAATATATATGATCATTTGCCAAAAGTGAACAAAGCCTACACCATGATATTAAGGGTGGAAAGACAAATGAGTGTTCAAATCA